GACAGGCATAGGCTTGTAACTCTGTCTCCAAAAGTCTGAGCTGCTGCTCAGGGCAGAGGCTGAATGGTGGGCTCTCTGCTGAATGCCAGAGTGTGCAGCCCGGCCATTCCCTGCCCTCCCCCATCGCCAGGACAGGAGTGTGGTCATTGGGAAGCCCCCTGCTCACTTTTTGTAGTGGTCTTTTCCCTTTGGCCCTCCCTCCAGGGGGGTAGCTTTGGGAGGGTGCTGACACAATATCCAGGAACCAACAAAGGTAGTAAGGAGTGTGTGTGTGTGTGTGTGTGTGTGTGTGTGTGTGTGTGTGTGATGATCTGATGTCTGCCTCAGGCCAACAGAGCTGAGGGCCAAGGGTGTAGAGTGCAGAGAAAATGACAGGACGCAGAGCTGTAGGGTGGGGGTGGACACTCTCAGGCCCTCAAGGTGCTCGAAGAAACTTCTTGTCCTGAAAAACATAGCCTCACCCCCTTCCCACTCCCTGGTGCCCGTTTGCTGCCTCCTCCTTGCATACATCCCTGTATATAACAACTTGGACAGACCCAGAACATACAGCTCTGTTTATTTCTATTTCTATAGCTATAGCTATGGTTATAACAATATACTGATATATATCTATGTCTATATGCACGTGTAAAGTGTTATATAAGTAGTGGTGTATGTAATAAAATATGTACTCATTATGAGTAAATAAGCAACTTAAAGATAACGCAAAAACCTCAGAAAGAGGAAAAGAGGAAGCCACGTCTAGACCCATCACTTGGAGAGCTAAGCAGCAGTGCCAGAAGCGTGAACATCGCTTCTTCCTCTTCAAGAGCTGTCCATGAGGCTCCCACGAGGCCCTCAGTGCAGTGGGCTCTGACTCAGGGCTCTGGGTCAGGCGGCAGAGGGCTGAGTGGGTGGTGGCGGGGGGCAGCTTTGTCCGCTTCATTTTAGCCAGTTTATTTTTTTATGGCCTTTCCTGTCTGGGTATTGGTTCGTGATCATCCCACCTATGGTGCTTTGAAAAGCGTGCTCAGCACAGTGCTATTCACAGGTTCTAGAAGAAATAAATTTTGTAAAAGGGCTGGGACAGGCAATCCTTGCCAATGGGTGGTTTATAATTAATCACTCCCCATTAAAAAAAAATAGTGACTCAGCTTCAAAGAGTCAGAAAACCATTACTCAAGTTCCTTGGCAGAGGAGGCACCATTCCGAGGCTCCTGCAGCTCTGCTTTTGTGGAAGAGAAAGAAAGTCCTTTTATTTGTGACTTCTCTGAGCTGCCCCAGTACTTTGGCCATTGTTGGGAAGTGCAGGAACAGAACAGCCCCTGCCATTGTTCAGGCTGCTCACTACACATGGCAAGTGCATGCCTCTGACAGCGGACAAGGGAAATGACTAGAGCAACAAATTTCCTGGCACTGGCCAGGCGAAGCGCACCGGAGAGCGCCCTCTGGCTCCAGACGCTGGTGCTCTGTCTTTAGCATCTCCTGCCTGTGACAAGCCGGTCCCTCCGGTTTCTGGTGCAGGACCTGGGGGGGGTGGGGGGGGTGAGCAGCGCCTGGCCGCACATGGCACCTGTGAGCAGTGAGTGCCCTTGAGAGTTTTCAGAGTGGAGGCCCCATCCCAGTGGGCACCTCTTAGGTGTCCTCCGTTAAACAAACATTTATTAAGCCCAGACTGAGCTCTCGGTGAGGGCTAGCTGGCCCTCATGTAGTCAGGGATGGAGGTGGGCGCGGTCTAGCAGCGGTCAGAGCCGTGGGTGAAACGCAAGGAAAGGCGCGAGTCGCCTGACGCTTGACTCCTGCTTGGACTTGCGGGCAGCTGCTGGTGTCCCTCAGCCTGTGTCCCTGCCTCCTGAAGTCTGAGCTCCACTCCTGAGCTGACGGAGGGGTGCTGTGAGCGTGGGGGTGGGGCTGGCCCTCCGCCGCTCCCCCGCCCCCTCCCCACCGCCCCCCCAGACTGTCCTGTTTTGGCAGTGCCTCCCACTTTGTTTCTCCAGTGATGGTAATTTGTACACGAGCTTAATTCCTTAGGTTTTATTCTTATAGCTGCCTTATCAAGTGGATATGGAAATGGAGAATAAAAATATTGATACAGGTTTCCCCTGCTTTACGGAAGTTTGCTTTTAGACACTTTGCTTTTATGAAAGACCTACATTCGTACCTGTTTTTGCTAACAGAGAGACATACAAAGAGGAGTTTTGCTTTTATGACCAAAGCAAAATAGTGTCCGGTGTTTGCTTTGCAGCAGACACTTGAGAGGCGGCAGTAACCCCAGCAGCAGGGTGGCCCCGGCTTCTTTCCTGGGAGCTACTTTAGACAGGCTGTGTGCTTGTCACATCATCCTTGCCTTGACTGTTGGTCAGGGTTATTGTACATTGTGTTGCTTGGTATTATTTTGTAGGTTATTTTGGGGCCTTGGGAAGACTCAAATATTTTCGTATCCATGAACGGGCAGTCGCTTCTCTGCTTCATGCCATTTCGGCTGCTGAAAGGTTTCATACGTGTGCTCTACTTTTGGAGGTAGGCTTTGTTTTCATAGACTACACTTGTGTGCAGTGCTTAGGAGTGTTGTGGGTCTCCTAAGCTTACCCTGATTCGGGCACGGATGGAAATCAATATGTGGCCTGGATGTCGCAAGTCAGAGCCTCCTGTCACTGTTCATCAGATTAAACACATGGTTTGTGGACAAGAAGGGCAAGGACACGTGCAGCCAGGACCAGCAGCTCTACTTGGATGAACTCTTGAGCTATTGCACCCACAGCGACGTGAGAGAAGGTTGACAACCACAATCCATAAGCACAACACTCGAAACAACCGGACTCTCCTTCAATAGCAGGCTATATAGTCATTTGTTACCTAGTGATGGGGAAACAGTCTGAGATATATGCCCCTAGGTGGTTTTGTCCTTGTGCAAACATCATCGCATATACTTGCACGCACCTAGATGATGTAGCCTGCTACACACGGAGGCTGTGTGGTCTAGCCTGTTATGGCCACTGTTTGATGTGTGCTCTGTCACCGACTGAAATCATTAAGCAACATGTGACTGTACGTTACACATGGGCACTGCATAGCAGTGAAAATGCATGACTACAGCTTCATGTACATAGAAACTTAGAAAAGCACATCTGAAAAAACTGTACCAAACCAATTATAGAAAGCTCAAAAATTGGGCCCTTCCTGGTGGTGCACGGGTTAAAGTGCAGCACTGTGAAGCTCGCCTTCAGCGCGAGTTCGATCCCTGCCCAGGGGAGGTGACCCACATGGCGCATCAGACCTCTCCTGGCCCGCCCGCTGCTCCCCTCAGCAATATAACTCATCAGTCAACCTGTCCTGCTCGCCACAATGTCTCTGGTGAATTCTCTCACCCCCTACCCTGCACCTCTGGCCTGCTCCCCAGTTCTGTGTACATAAATAAAATAAATCTTTTTAAAAAAGAAAATAATATATTAAAAAAAAGAAAGCTCAAAAATTAAGCAAAATTAAGAAAAGTGTAGGGCTACACAAGCAGTGACCCTACCTTTAAAAGCGAGAGATGATAAATCCGAAATGTACTGTCTAAGCAGGGAGGATGTGGGCTGCAGAAACAAAGAGGGGATTTCAGAGACAACGGTGGTATGATTTGGTAAGCGCTCTGGCTGTTTCATGCTCTGTGATTTCCATGTACATGCATATATTAATTTACATGCCTTTATACTATATTACACATTTCAAAACAATATTTGAAATGCTGGAAATATATTACTAAAGACTAAATATGAAAGGTGTACTGGAGTCAGAATTTTCCACACTCTTTTTAAGCCCTTGGGCTCAGAAGGACCCTCAGTGGGCTTTGGCTCAGGGGACTGAGCTTTGGCTGATGTTCGGGATACAGTGTCCTCTACCCCGCTTGTGCAAGTGAGTGTGTCCTTGAGAGCAGGATCTTCCTATTACTACTTAATTGTGCCCTCCTCTCTGGTGCCTACCTCTGGAGGCTTCCCTAAATATGTGTTGAACCCAGGACAGAGGGAGGCCTTCTTTGCCCACAGTGGGTAAGGTGAGACCAGAGGAGTCTAAAATACCTTTTAGAACTTGCTTGGCTACACAGTGGGATTTCTCACCCAAAGTCCAAGGCTCTGATAGTGAACTGAATAAAAACTTTAAATGATTGGCTGCTACACTGCCAGGCTTGGGGCAGAGTGCCAGGGTGGAGGCGCTGGCACCGGTGGTAAAGTGAGAAGACAACTTGACAGGAGCCTGGGTACCCAGGCAGGAGCTCTCTGTGTCCTTCCTTGTCCATGTCCCTGATTTCTGGACTGTGACTGGTCCTGGGGAGTGTCCTGGGTGTCACCGATCCTGAGTCCCTCCTCTCTGACTGCTACCTCGGGAAGATGGGAGCTCGGTGAGCGTCTCAGGTGTGGGGTGGGAACTCCTTCCCAGCAAGAAGGGCTGGCAGATCAGAGACCCTGATGCTGCCACTCCTGGTGCAGAATCACGGCTGGGCGGTGAGATTGGGTGTGCAGGTAGGGCCATGGAAACCTGGGGCCAGATGCTTCGCTGCTGCTTGCTGGGAAATGGCTAACCATTTGGCTTAAAGACCATGTGTACTTAACCCCCATCCCTGTCTGCTCAGTTCTCAGCAGGTTGGACTAATTTATTTTATTGGTTAATATATCAATCCAAGGTGGTTGTACTAATATATTTCTTAAAACCTATACTAAAATTTTCCCCTTTAACCTTGGACTTCATGCTCTGGGCAGTGGCAGGCCGATGAAAGGTTTCTAATTTTTAGAAGAATGGGGTGGTCAGACCCCAGCTTTAGGAGGCTCTCTGGGCAGCTGGGTGGAGGAGGGCCAAGCTGCGGTGCAGAGACCCCTGGGAGGCCATGGCTGTAAACCCAGCTAATCTAGGCTGGGGTGACAGAGCCTGGACCAGTGGAGGGACTTGAGGTGCTGAGAGCTGAAGCCTTCTGTGGCTTCCCCAGCTCAGAAACAGGTCCCTCCCCCAGCTACTGTGGCCTGACTGTGTCTTTCCCTCCCCAGAGGTGGCCGGTGATGTGCTGACTAGCTTGCCCGGGGGCAGTGTTACTCTGACCTGCCCAGGCGGGGACCCAGGAAACAACGCCACCATTCACTGGGTGCATAGCAGCCCAGCGCCAGGCACACACCACAGCAGAAGGGCTGGAGTGGGAAGGAGGCTGCTTCTGAGGTCGGTGCAGCTCAGCGACTCTGGAAACTACTCGTGCTTCCAGGATGGCCGTCTCGCTGGGACTGTGCGTTTGCTGGTGGACGGTGAGTGGTGTCCTCCGAGCTCTCCAGCTCTCCCAGAGTAGTGCTGCACATTCCTGAGAGATGCCCTGTCCGACCCTTCCGACTCCTACCATTTCCTTGGTCTAAGAATTTCGGGGAAGGCCCATGGTGCCTGCCAGCGGGACTGGCAGAGGTCCCCAGAGGGTGGAGACCTCTGGCTGATGGGGATGCCGTCCAGCTGGCCTCATGCAGTGAGAGCTTCAGGCGCACTGGTTAGTAGTATGTGTGTGGGAGGTGGGGGTGGGGGCAGGAACGAGGTGGCCTGGGGTTCAGTCCTCCTCCCTCGAGGCACCCATAGCATGGTGCTGAAAACTGCAGCCCACATTAAACTCTTAACTTTATTTTTAGACTTTGCAGGTTCTTAGCTTCCTGGAATCTGCATAAAAATTCTGTAGCGCCAGATGCCCTGAGTGCCAGGCCCTGTGCCAGGCGCTTTCTCCCTGGTCTTTCTCTCCCTCCAATGACCCTGTGAGGAAAAGTCTCCATTTTCTTCTTCTCCTTATATCATCATTTAATCTTATGGCAGGAAACTGAAGAGACTGGGACTGGCCCAAAGCCATACAACCAGGCCCACGTGACGCCAAAGCTCTAGTCTTTGGTCGCCGCTCTCCCTTTATAGGAGTTTGCTTCCTGGGGGCTTCCCTTCCCTTCTCTTGTGTTGTCCCAACACAAGACCGTTACTGTCCTTTGCTTTTCCACAGTCAGAGCTGTGTGTGGCAGCTGACCATGCTGTTCTGGGTCACGGTTGCCTCATCGGTGGCCTGGGGAGGAGCTGTGTGAAGTGCTCCCCTCAGGAGGGAGCTGAGCTGTGCTCCTTCCTTATGTCTGCTGTATTCTCCCAGTTCCCCTTGAGGAGCCGCAGCTCTCCTGCTTCCGAAAGAGCCTCCTCAGTAACGTTGGCTGTGAGTGGAGTCCGCCACGTCCCCCCTCCCCGATGACCAAGGCCGTGTTACTGTGGAAGAAGCTGTAAGTATCCCCTGAGCTGGGCTGTGTCTTCTCCATCCTATTGGCTCTCAGAGGAGCCAAGTGGAAATGACTGGCCAGCGACTCTGAAATTTTATCATCGGCAAGTGTCCTTTGGGGTGAGGAGGACGAGCGAGAGTGGAACAGCGACTTGCTGGACAGTGTGCTGTGAGCTGTGTCCTGCTAACACGCCTTACGGCCATGGGCAGCAGGCAGTATTCTTCTCTTCTCATAGCTGGAGAAACTGAGGTGGGGAGAGTGACTCACTTGTGATGCGGTGATCCAGCTAGTAAGCTGGTTCTCTTGGGAATCAATCCCTGTCCTCCTCCGCCCCATCCTGCCCCTCCCCATCTGTCCAATTTCATTCAAAATACAAAGGTTTGGGGAGTTGGTCTGAAAAAGATGCACATGTCCCTGGGTCCCTGGAAGACAGTGCTTCTGCTGAGTGTGGGGTCAGAGGTCCTCCCGGCTGGAAGGGTCGGCTCATCCGAGACCCCGATCCTGCCAGTCCTGGTGCAGAATCGCAGGTGCGAGGCAGCCAGCTTTTCATCCGCCTCTTGACTCTGTGCGTGTGTGTGTGCGTGTGTGTGCATGGGTGTTGGGTGCGTGTCCTTTTTAGACTCCATTGCAGAGGCGGAGGAGGGGCAGTGGTGACAGGGTGGGAGAGGTCAAGGGCAGGTTACAGCTGCCTGGTGGAGGCCCCCGTGTCTCCAGGAAACCGCACAAAATGGGGGACCTGGCATGAATTCAGGCAGGTAGAAAATGCTAGCACCGAGCATACCTCTGTGGTTCTGCCTCTCTCCTTCCCAGACGGAAGGCCCCTTCGTCCAGATATTCAGAGTTTTTTGCACTATTGATCACTAGGACAGCAAAAACCTGAGGGTGCTGTCGACAGGGTGGTTTAGCTTCTTCTGCGCCTGTCTTCAGATGGGCCTGGCAGTAAACTTAATGCTTTGGTCTCCACGTAGAAATGCGGCGATTGCCCGGCTGTGGACACAGCCGGTGGGACTGTTTGCTCGTGCTCCCAGCGGGGAAGACCCGAGATCTCCACAACCCGCAGCTATGTTTGGCCACAAAGTGGGGCCTCGAGGCATTGTCCCAAAGACAGGATGCCCACAGTGGCTGGTTGCTGTCGGCACCAGTCCACGGAAAGCTTACTCAGCGGAACTTCAAGTATTGGTAGAATGCTTTGTGCCTTGACAGTAAGCGTGAGAGGACCTGAAGCTTCAGCTCACATATCCGCCTGCCAGCAGCCTCAGGCACTTCCGTCCTCCTCCTGGTTTGTCATAACTATTGACCTTTAAAAAGAGCTTCCATTTCAATCTCAGCTTGAGTAAAATTCGCTTCCATAAAAGGGGCATCTGGCCGAACTGAGAAAGGCGGAGGGAGGGGAGACGCCTGTGGAGCCTCAGGAATCCCAGCACCCGCAGCCCCACCCAGGCCCGGGACTGCGGGTGGGTGAAACAGGCCCTGAGGGAGACTTGGTGTGATCTGCTTTCCCTTGGCGTGTGCACACACTCACCCTCAGTTGCCCCCATGGGCTCACCCACTCATTCCAGGGGTGACTACAGCATCTTCTGTGGGACACTCTACTGGGGCTGACACAGAACAAGTTGGGGCTCTGGTCCTCAAACCCCAGAGAGTTGCCCCCATGGGCTCACCCACTCATTCCAGGGGTGACTACAGCATCTTCTGTGGGACACTCTACTGGGGCTGACACAGAACAAGTTGGGGCTCTGGTCCTCAAACCCCAGAGGCGGGCATGCCTGTAGGCCAGCTCACCGCCAGCTTCTGGGCGCTGGGCGGTGTTGCAGGGAGGTGCTCCCTCAGATTGAGAAGGAAGGGGGCCTTGGATCCAAAGCCCAGTCAGGGCTGGGGTGCCTCACCCAGCAGCAAGGCGGCCATGGCCTCACATGCCCACACCTGTCCTGAGTGGGCGAAGTCTCAGGCTTTGCCAGGCTGATGGGATGGTGTCTGACTGACTCACCTTGAATGTCTGCAGTGATGCAGATCCTTGGCTGGGCTCACCTGGCGGACACGCCCGCTGCAGCACTGCTGCCCCTGGGGAGCTTTTCCACTGGGGTCCCTGCCACTGAGGGCAGGCCTTTTTTGTTAGTGCCTGAGGCCGGGGCCCCTCTGGACTCCTTCCCGATGTCCCGCAGAGCTGAGCACGCAGGGCCTGGCCGGACACAAGAATGCACTCCTCCGCCAACCTCAGTGCCCTCTGGTTCGGGACCTTTGGCTGTGCTGTGCCAAGAGCTAAGCGATGTTTTAACACATTTTTTAATGAGTCCTCACAACCCCCGTGACCTGGGCACTATGAATAATTTCCATTTTCAAGAGGTAAAGTAGCTTTGAAGATGTTGATGAATTTACTTGAAGTCACAGAGCTAAGTGTGGGGCTGGGGTTAACCTCGGGGGTCAGCCCCCCTTTTCTCCTCAGCTGAGTAAGTGTAGCTGAAAGCCAGCCCTGTCTTTGTTTTGCGCTAGCAGTCCGAACAGCCCGCTGGAGGACTTCTCGGAGCCATGCCAGTATTCCCAGGAGGCACAGAAGTTCTCCTGCCAGCTGGCAGTCCCAGAGGGAGACAACTCTTTCTACATAGTGTCTCTGTGCGTCGCCAACGGTGCCGGAAGCAAGTCCAGCAGAACCCAAACATTTAAGGGTTACGGAATCCGTAAGCCATCTCTTCCCATCCCTGCCCTCTCCAGCTGTCCCTTCTCTTTTGCCTCAGTGCAGGCTTCTTGGAGGGGCAGGAGAGGGCTTGGCTGAGTAGGCCCCTTGCAGGGTTTTCCAGCCAGAGGCCGACAGTGGCCGAGGGTGGCCCGTGAGGTGCAGGAATCGGGGCGGGCGGGGCCCTGAGGTGGGGCCTGTGGTCTTGACCAGCAGCCACGCTCCCTCCCCCCTGCAGTGCAGCCAGACCCACCTGTCAACATCAAGGTCACCGCTGTGGACAGAAACCCCCGCTGGCTCAGAGTCACCTGGCAGGACCCCCCATCCTGGAACTCTGATTTCTACAGGCTACAGTTTGAGCTCCGCTACCGGGCTGAACGGTCAAAGACATTTACAACGTGGATGGTAAATTCTTCTTTTACTTCTGAAAGAAAAGTGCCCCAAGGTGCTCAGGGATAGGAAAACGAGTACTAGAAGGAAAAACAAAATGGTTTTGGAGCTCTGCCTTGCAGTGCCTTAGCTGCATGGCCTTGGGTAATCTCTGAACTTTTCTGAGCCTCGATTGCCCCCTTGAGAAACTGCGAATAGTAATGCCTGGCCAGTCTCCTGTCTGCAGGCCTCTCAGTGGAGAGTCTGACCTAGGAAGAGGGTGCCGAGCGCCCTATGGTGCCGAGTCTATGGTGCCTGAGGGTTACCTACAGCTTGGCCTGTGCAGGCCCTGAGGGCAACCCCCATCTTGCTCTGACCCCCTGTGATGTGAACCTCTGGAGCACCTCTGCCCAACTGGGACACGTGCTAGACCTGGCACAGTTTGCAGCCACGGGGCAGGAGGTGTCCAGGGCACCCCTGTCTGCATGGAACTGCCTAATCAGGGCTCCCCTACGCCCCACATGAGTCACTGCCTCCCCGCTTCAGGTCAAGGAGGCCCAACATGACTGCATCATCCGAGACGCCTGGAGCGGCCTGAGGCATGTGGTGCAGCTGCGGGCCCAGGAGGAGTTTGGGCATGGGCTGTGGAGCGAGTGGAGCCACGAGGTCACAGGCATCCCGTGGACAGGTGCGTGGGGGCGCTGGGCGGATGGCTCAGCTTCTTTACGCTGTAAGCTACCTGTTGTGATGTAGCAGGTTACTCTCAAGCTGGGAGTAACTATTGCGACTATTGCGATGGGAACAACTAGAACTATTTATCTGCAGATAAATCAGGGGGGCAACTTTGTGCTGGTGTTACCCAAATCACCCAGGCCGCTGCATCAGGCCTGTGTGCGTGCAGTGGCTTCACTCACGTCTTGGCGACCGAGCGGACTGGTGGCTGGGGCCCGGGTGTCAGAATTACACTGGATGTTGATGGGAAGAGCCACAAGGACTGTAGCTTTTTTAAATCCACCATTATTATGAATACTTTTTACCTTGAAAAAGATGTGAAAGGTATTATTAACTGCTTTTGAGGAATTAGTGAAGTTAGTGTATTCGTTATAGAACATGGAAAATTCCAGAAAAATAGGGAGGTAATAATTACCACCACTTTTTTACCACCAAGAAAAAAACAGTGAGGATGTTCTGGTATATTTCTTTCCTTTTCCTACAGGGGTGTGTGTCTTATGAGGATTCCCATGTTATTAAATATTTCTGGGAATGTATTGTTTAGTAACTGCATGATTAATGGTTTATTTTTTTAACCCATGGGATTTTTTTAACTTTTTTTTTTTAAAATCAAATTAATACATGCCATAGCAAGGAAGCAAAGAAGGGCTATAATAACAAGCACTGTCCCTTGCTCCACCCCTTCCCATTTCTAGTCCTGCTTCTAGGGTAAGCTACTTGACTTTCTGTTTCTAGTTCTTCTGGGGGGCCCTTGTTAACTCCATCAACAAGCCGATATGTCTGGGTACTTTTCTTTTCTCAGAAAACAAGGTGAGACATTTTGACTCCTGACTCCTTCCTATAATAGATCAGGTCTGGGCCCTCCCTGGTGGCACAGTGGATTAAAGCACAGCACTGAGAAGCTAAAGCCACTTCCACATGAGTTCGATCTCCCCCTGCCCCAGAGGTGACCCACATGGCGAGGCAGACCTCTCCTGACCCGCCCGCTGCTCCCCTCAGCAGTGTATTCATCGATCTGCCTGTTCTGCTCCCCACTCTGTCTCTGGTGAATCCTCTCACCATCCCTGCACCTCTGGCCTGTACCCAGTTCTGTATCCATAAATAAATAAATCTGAAAAAAAAAAAAAAAAAAGATCAGGACTTAGCAAACCTAGGCCCAGTGCAGGAATTTCCCTGACTTTGTCCTAGAGAGTGGTCACCCACCCACCCTTGAGTGCTCCCAGCTCAGGGACGCCAGTAGCCCGTTTCATAGTTCCTGGCATTGTGGTATGACTTCCAGGCTTGCTTTGCTGTCCGTTCTCTTAGCCTCCCAGCATAGTTGAACCAAATTAATTGTTTTTAAATGCCAGGTAGTTAAAACAAAAAGAAAATAAAATACCCATTTATTTGGTTTTTTTTTTTTTATGGAAAAAAGGAAAAGAAATGGCATCAATTGCCCGGGCCCAACCCTACCCTGAAACTTTCTCCCACTCCTTGATCCAGGGAGAAGTGTTTGTTCAGTTGAGGGCTGCAACACTGGGTAAGTCTGCACTTTTACAGGCTGTGGTACTGCGTCACACCGACGCCCAGGCACCATTGCAGTCCACTGGGCTCCTCCCACACCCTGTTCCCTCCACCCCCCCTTCCCTCTGGTAGTCTCAATTATAGTGAGATTTCTGGAGTTTGTAACTGGTTTGGCCTTGTCTGACCCTTTGTTTTCTTTCTCTATATTTCACATAGAAGTGGAGTCATCTGGTATTTGTGTTTCTGTTCTGACTTATCTTGCTTATTAGCTTTTTCCCCTCCAGCTGAGGGAAGAGCTGAGCGCTCTGTGCTTTATGGCTGCATCTATACACCGCATCGTCTTAACCCATTTCTCTGTTGCTGTGTAAGTCCCGTGACTTGGGTATTGTAAATATGCCCTGGACACAGAGTATAATACCCTGTGAGTTGGTATATTTGCATCCTCTGGGTGGATGCTTAGGGGAGTGGGATTGCTGGATCATACGCTAGATTTCCTTTTAACATCATGGAGGGAGAATAGACTGTGCCTCCTCCCCTAGAGGGGTGATGTGATGTAACGGTGTCTCCTCCCCCCCTGGATGCAGAGTGGGGTCCTCATTTCTCTTGTCACAGGAGAGTCAGAGGAGTGTGGGCTGGTGTGCAGGGTGTTTTCCTAACTGGATGTGCACTGTCGAGTCCAGGGGCAGGTTCTTGCTGACACCGCCCCCATCTGTGCATCAAGAACAGAGGGAACTTTTTACTGTACCCTCTTTACAAAAGCTAATTTCCTGCTAAGACCTGGCCAAGATGATCCACTTCTTGAGACTTAGGTCACCTAGTAGAACGGTGTAAGTAAATCCAAACATACCTCTGGCCAGATTGTGTTGGCCATGGTTACCTTTGACTTGTATACACTTTGAGCTAAAACATTCATTATCTGCATGTCAGGCACTAAATAATCTTGGGAGCCTTTGCAAGACAGGAAAATGTGCAGAGGGAGCGGTCCAGCTACAAGCCCACACTTGTTTATGTTTTATACCAGCCACTTCATTTCCTTGATCACAGTTTAAGAAATCCTGTTTTGTTAGAAAGCTCTTTCTTTTAAAGGTTTTTTCAATTGTGCAAAATATACATCATTTTTAAAATTACAATTTAAATCCTCTTAAGCATACAGGACAGTGGTATTAAGTACATTCGCATTGTTGCGCTAACATCACTACAGCTCATCTCCAGAATTTTTCCATCTTGCCGTATACCAGTTAAACACTTGGCTTCCCATTCCCGACACCCCAGCCCCTGACAACTACCATTTTGATTTTACTACCTCATATAAGTGAAGTCATATAGTATTTGTCTTCTTGTGACTGGCTAGTTGTACTTAACGTGATGTCTTCTGGGCTTACTCATACTGTAGCAAGCGTCAGAACTGCTCCCTTTTTAAGGCTGACTAATATTCCATCATAGAACATTAAGTCACATGTCGTTAGTGATGTTTCTGCCAACGACAAGGCCAAGATGTGATGACTTTCCCAAGGGTTGTACCATTCAGACTAGGGGGTAGCAGGCTGTACCAAGGTTTGTGGAATTGCACTTAATGACGTCAGCACTTCCATGACTCATTCCTGAGAATGTGCCCTGCTACAAATCAATGTATGACTGTACACCCCATTTTGCTTAACCATTCACCTGTGAATGGACACTTTGGTTGTGTCCACCTTTTGGCTATTGTGAAGAGCATAGCTCTGAACATGGGTGTACAAATATTTGTGTGGGTTCCAGTTCTTAATTCTTTTGAATTGCTAGAGGTGGAAACGCTATGTCCTATGGTAGTTCTATTGTTAACTTTTTGAGGAAATGCCATTGTGTTTTCCACAGTGGCTGCATCACTACCTTCTGCATCAGCATTAAATAGGGTTCTGATCTCTTTATATTCTTGTCAACACTTGTTATTTTGTTTTCTTCTCTTTTTGATACTAGCTATCCTAATAGGATTGGATGGCATAGTTTAGTTTGCATTTCTATAGTGATTAGTGATGGGGAGCATCTTTTCTGTGTTTATGGGCCATTTTTATGTCTTTTTTTTTAAGTTTATTTATTTATGCATACAGAACTGGCATACAGGCCAGAAGTGTGGGGGAGGTAAAAGGCTTCACCAGAGACAGAGTGGGGAGCAGAACAGGCAGATCGACAAAGTACACTGCTTGGGCGGGAGCAGCGGGCGGGTCAGGAGAGGTCTGTCACGCTGGGGAGGCGTGGGGTGGGTGACCTCCAGTGGGGGGATTGAACTCATGCTGAAGTGGCTTTGGCTTCTTAGTGCTGGGCTTTAACCCGCTGTACCACAGGGAGGGCCTGTATGTCTTTTTTAAAGGACTGTCTATTCAAGTAGGGAGTCATTTCTCATGTGAATCTAACCTAGCCTCACTGAGTTTTGCCCCGTCATCTGGGAGAACCTTGACAAGTCTGCTAATCTGATCTCCATAACTTCTGGCATTTCCAGAGGACCTGCATCTTCCTGGCTCCTCTTCCCAGGCTGTTTTATAGAATGGCTGCAGGCTCTTCAGCTGTCTGATCACCTTCCCCTGAACCTGGCCTCATGTATAAATGTTCCTCTTTAAATTGTTGATGTCCCTTCCAGTGGCAGATGGTGTGGTTGGGCCATCTGGCCAGCACAGGGTACAGTCTCTGACTTTCTGGCCTCAGGCTGCTCCTGTGGCTGCCTGCAGTGACCACGTGAGCTCAGACAGAACACTTGGCTTCTCCCACGTAGCAGCTGAAGAGCTTCAGTTTCCCATCTTGTATACGTGCAGTTTCAGGGCCCTTCAAAGCCCTAGTAGTGAATATATTCAAGAGAAAAATTAGCTGCTTTACTCTCCATTGAGAACCAAAGGGACGTGGATGATTCTGATCCAGAGGGATTTAGGTCAGCTCTTCAGAAAATGAGAGGAAGGTTGGGAGGTTGGGCAGTTATATAGCTGTTTGGGGTCTGTCAGGGTACTGGATCTGGTGTCAGTGGGCTTCCCAACCCCAAGGGCCCCCAGCTGTAGGAGTTCAGGCAGACAGGGCGACCTGCCTCCTACTGCTGTGTGCTGTGGTAGAGCCCATGGGGAGCACGATGGGCCTGGGGCCAGGCGCTGTGACCCTTCCAAAGGTACCTCTCGGAGCATAGCCTTTGTCTGTGAAGTGCAGATGTGACCTGTCTTGTGGCTCAGAGAGGTTTTATGAGTCCGGTGGAAAAGAAGCCTTTATAAATAAATTGTATTACAAATGTAGAGGGATTGGCAATTCCAGCAGTGTTGGGGGTGAAGAGAGTGAGTGTCCAGAATCCCGACCTCAGGTACCATCTTGGACCCACTGAGTCTGGAGGGGAAAGTAGGAGGATGTTGAGAGTGTTCCCAGTAATTGTAGAAGGTGCTGGGGGGCAAGAAAGGGGGCCCATTGTGTGGTTAGAGGGTGGATCAGTTGTTTGTTGGGGTG